GAAATCTGTTCTTACTTGTATTTTATTACCTCATCAGATCCAATATTTGGGACTTCAGGCCCTCAGACGACGTTGAGGACATGTTTAACCGGCTCGTACAACAGGCTGACCAGAACGCCGCCCTACAAAACCTTTTTTAATACGTGAGAAAAACATGGGAATATCGGTACCAACAGCTACATTGAGGGTTGGCACAATAGGATGAACCAAAGAGCCTCTTACCGCCATCAGCTGCAATTTTATCTGCCAGTGAAATTTCAGCACAGTGAAGCAATGCTAGCAAAGCTTCAGGTGGAACTTGTTAGTCAAGCTAAACTCCCAAGAATTCAACGAAAACGCTATCGTGACATGCAGTCAAAGATAATTAAGCTTTGGGATCGTTTTGATAATGACGAAATCGATTCGTATAGATAACTAAAGAAATGTTTAATTTTGACAGTGCCTCCGGTTTAATTGTTACTAGATAGCAAATGAATGTATCATTAATTGTTGCAATTAAAATTCCATAATTGACATTACTTGAACTTTATATATTTAGACAAAATAGGTCTTTAGTACTTTTTAATAAAAAGTGAAACAGTTTGCAGGTTTTTACTTTGACTTCAGAGGAAGGAGGACTGGTGACAATTACTTTCAAAATCAACATGGCGTCGTTAGTGTGGGTCGTATGTTTGTAGTGGATGATGTACTGTCAAAACTAAAAAGTTTTTCGTTTAACAAAGGAAAAGTAATAGAAGTAATCGTTCGAATGGGGAGTTCTTTACATTTTCATAGAGAGAAAGATTTGTTCCTCTCTTCAAGAATACTGATCGTGTTCACAAGCGTTTCCATCTAGTCGGAGTTGTTACATAAAGAAATATCTAAGCTCTCGCCGTTGGATCTTATTGAAAGTGACATGTGACGGTGAAATATCTTATCAGTATAAATTAGAATGCCTTTTACATTGAGGTCTCTCACCAATAATTACTGTGCGAAATAACTATTAAGAATTGTGCGAACGGTCCAAAACTTGTGGGAAAAGACTTGTGCGAAAAGTCTTTGATGCGAAATGTCCTATATTCGTTTCATATTAAAGCTAACCTCTTTTCTCACTGGAACTGGCAAGTGTAAAAGTTTGCCCAGATCGATACAAATTCCCTAGAAAATACTAGCCCAGTTCAAAAAAAGCTTCTTTCAACCTGTTCTACCTGTTCATCTTACTTCACTAGTTTTCTCAAGTCAAATCTAATGTTTAATGCCTGCATTGTGCCTATTTCTTTCTATATGACATTTGCTGTTTTTTTGGTTTTTGTTTTTTTTGTTTTTGTTTTTTTTGTTTTTGTTTTTTTTGTTTTTTTTTCTGCATGGATAAGTTGTTTTGCCTATGAAAAGTAGGGAAATTTCCTTGCTTTTTGTAAACCGTCCTTGGTTATTTCTCTCTGCAAAACTAAACTTGATCTAAATCTTTGAAGATTTTTCTTTTTAGGACCGCTAGGGTCGGTTGTTTATGCCAAAATGACGATTACTGTAATCATACCTGTCAACTAGTTTGAGTAAGCAGAATACCACTTATAAATTAACTGAAACTGATATTAAATCGTTTTCATTCGGTGCCTTTGTTCAGGTTATCCTGTTATGGAGGTTGTGATATCTTCCCTATAATAAAAAGGAAGGCTAAACATTTCTCTATCAGAGTAAAAAGGATAACGAGGAGAATTTATGTGCTTGAAGCAGTGAGATAAATGTTGAGAGCCAAAATGTTTCCTTTGGGGACATTTTTCAGATTGAATTCCTTGTTACATTTGGGACACTTAGCACCTGACAAATTGCCAGTGAACTTCTTGACCGGTGAATCTTGCTGGCATCTGGGACAATTCACGGTGTAATCATCTCGCTGAAGACTCGGCAAAGTTTCCATCAGCCATTTGGCACGCTTGGATCCAAGTTCCTTGAAAGAGGTTTTTTCTTTTTCGTTCAGATCTTCTACTTCCCAGTGAACATCATAAAACTTAAATCCAAGAACGTCTGCGTTCTGCACTTTAAAAAAGCCGTTGTCTGCCCAGTCGGATCCCTTGGAATTCAACAGTCGCAAATATTCACTGTTGAAACTGGTTAAAACCACTGCATGGCCAAACCCTTTGGGATTTTCAGGACGGGCTGTTATATCGATCACCCTTTTTGTCAAAATACCTTTTCCGTCAGTTTCGAAGAACTCATAAAACCTACCCCACTCATTGAGGGTAAGCCCAAATGTTGCAACCACCGGTCGGCTTGAAGCGACTGCTTCCATGGCACCCTTGAGGTCAACTTGCTTGTAACGCAAACGGTACTTGTTGCACATTTTTTCGAGCACTGTTTTGATAACGGCAGCTTCTTTTCCAAAATGGCCGATCATTTCATTTTTCAATTCTTCGAAATCTGGGATTTTGCCCTGGCGGCCATGAATTCGCTTCATAGTCAAATGAAGCACTGTAGCTGATGCATGTGCAAAGCAGGTCTGTCCTTCTTGCTTTGCTTGTGCTTCATAATCTCTTACTGACTGGTTTATGTACACATCGAGGTCAACGTCTGCAAGCAAATCGGATAACGCCTCCTGAGAACAGACGACCTTTCGAGCAA